TTCTAAGTGTGCATCGTAACTGCTAAAGCATATACTGTGCTAGTTTTTATTCGTCATGCCCAGGAAAGTTGAAAAATTGTCCAACCCAAAAAATACCTGGATCGGACGTGGAATCAAACACAGCCACCTCCAGCAATGTTGGTCTAGTAGATCATTTGATCTGCACTCCAGGATAACTGGGAGAACCTTTAGCATCTTATATACCTCAAAATAAATTATAAGTGATGCGCAAAAACTCACGTAGATGAGGTTATGGAGAACCTAAAACATCTTATACACATGACATTGAAACATAATAGATGTACATAATGAATATGAACTTATTTTGAGATGATTCGTAACTAACGGCCTTGTACAAGTCATGGTTGATCTGGTACATGATTTTATCTGAACTCCAGGATTATAAGTGACGATGATGATAGTGGTTTACCACCCATTGTAGCACGGAAACTAAGTCCGACAGCAGTGGGCTCTCTTCTCTGTTCGTCTTGATCATGCTTAATAACCTCTGATTATCCTCAACATGTCGCTGTATGAAAAGCTATAAACGGATAGGGTAGAACGATAGGCAAAGTCGCCTATACGGAGATAAATCGATTTAAAGGTTTGAAAGGTCCACCAGCCGACAAATCAAAGTTTTTCGAATATTATATACTGGAAAATCCAGGTATGAAAATTTCGAGCATCTGAACACCCCTCTTTTCGCGATTAGAGCCATATTTACGTAGATAAATCGATTTAAAGGTTTGGAAGGCCCACCAGCCGACAAATAAAAGTTTTTGGAATATTATGTACTGGAAAATCAAGGTATGAAAATTTCGAGCATCTGAACACCCCTCTTTTTGCGATTAGAGCTATATTTACGGAGATAAATCAATTTAAAGGTTTGGAAGGTCCACCAGCCGACAAATAAAAGTTTTTCGAATAATATATACTGGAGTATCCAGGTATGAAAATTTCGAGCATCTGAACACCCCTCTTTTCGCGATTAGAGCCATATTTACGGAGATAAATCGATTTAAAGGTTTAGAAGGTCCACCATCCGACAAATAAAAGTTTTAGGGATATTATATACTGAGAAATCTAGGTATGAAAATTTCGAGCATCTGAACACCCCTCTTTTCGCGATTAGAGCCATATTTACGGAGATAAATCGATTTAAAGGTTTGGAAGGTCCACCATCCGACAAATAAAAGATTTTGGAATAGTCTATACAGAAATCTCCAGGTATGAAAATTTCGAGCATCGATTAGAGCCATATTTACGGAGATAAATCGATTTAAAGGTTTAGAAGGTCCACCAGCCGACAAATAAAAGTTTAAGGGATATTATATACTGAGAAATCGAGGTATGAAAATTTCGAGCATCTGAACACCCCTCTTTTCGCGATTAGAGCCATAGTTACGGAGATAAATCGATTTAAAGGTTTAGAAGGTCCACCAGCCGACAAATAAAAGTTTTAGGGATATTATATACTGAGAAATCTAGGTATGAAAATTTCGAGCATCTGAACACCCCTCTTTTCGCGATTAGAGCCATATTTACGGAGATAAATCGATTTAAAGGTTTGGAAGGTCCACCAGCCGACAAATAAAAGTTTTTGGAATATTATACACTGGAAAATCAAGGTATGAAAATTTCGAGCATCTGAACACCCCTCTTTTCGCGATTAGAGCCATATTTACGGAGATAAATCGATTTAAAGGTTTGGAAGGTTCACCATCCGACAAATAAAAGATTTTTGGAATATTATATACTGAAATATCCAGGTATGAAAATTTTGAGCATCTGAACACCCCTCTTTTTGCGATTAGAGCCATATTTACGGAGATAAATCGATTTAAAGGTTTGGAAGGTCCGCCATCCGACAAATAAAAGATTTTTGGAATAGTATATACAGAAATCTCCAGGTATGAAAATTTCTAGCATCTGAACACCCCTCTTTTCGCGATTAGAGCCATATTTACGGAGATAAATCGATTTAAAGGTTTAGAAGGTCCACCAGCCGACAAATAAAAGTTTTTGGAATATTATACACTGGAAAATCAAGGTATGAAAATATCGAGCATCTGAACACCCCTCTTTTTGCGATTAGAGCCATATTTACGGAGATAAATCAATTTAAAGGTTTGGAAGGTCACCATCCGACAAATAAAAGATTTTTGGAATATTATATACTGAAATATCCAGGTATGAAAATTTCGAGCATCTGAACACCCCTCTTTTCGCGATTTGAGCCATATTTATGGAGATAAATCGATTTAAAGGTTTAGAAGGTCCACCAGCCGACAAATAAAAGGTTTTGGAATATTATACACTGGAAAATCAAGGTATGAAAATATCGAGCATCTGAACACCCCTCTTTTTGCGATTAGAGCCATATTTACGGAGATAAATCGATTTAAAGGTTTGGAAGGTCCACCATCCGACAAATAAAAGATTTTTGGAATATTATATACTGAAATATCCAGGTATGAAAATTTCGAGCATCTGAACACCCCTCTTTTCGCGATTAGAGCCATATTTACGGAGATAAATCGATTTAAAGGTTTAGAAGGTCCACCAGCCGACAAATAGAAGTTTTTGGAATATTATACACTGGAAAATCAAGGTATGAAAATATCGAGCATCTGAACACCCCTCTTTTTGCGATTAGAGCCATATTTATGGAGATAAATCGATTTAAAGGTTTGGAAGGTCCACCAGCCGACGAATAAAAGGTTTTGGGATAAAATATACTGGAAAATCTAGGTATGAAAATTTCGAGCATCTGAACACCCCTCTTTTCGCGATTAGAGCCATATTTACGGAGATAAATCGATTTAAAGGTTTGGACGGTCCACCAGCCGACGAATAAAAGGTTTTGGGATAAAATATATTGGAACATCAAGGTATGAAAATTTCGAGCATCTGAACACCCCTCTTTTCGCGATAGCCATATCGATTTAAATGTTTGGAAGGTCCACCAGCCGACGAATAAAAGGTTTTGGGATAAAATATACTGGAAAATCCAGGTATGAAAATTTCGAGCATCTGAACACCCCTCTTTTCGCGATTAGAGCCATATTTACGGAGATAAATCGATTTAAAGGTTTAGAAGGTCCACCAGCCGAAAAATAAAAGTTTTTGGAATATTATACACTGGAAAATCAAGGTATGAAAATTTCGAGCATCTGAACACCCCTCTTTTCGCGATTAGAGCCATATTTACGGAGATAAATCGATTTAAAGGTTTGGAAGGTCCACCAGCCGACGAATGAAAGATTTTGGAATATTATGTACTGTCACTAGAAATAACCCGAGTTGCTTGGTTATCCATTTGTATGCCTCTTTTCACACCTACTCGATAACAGTCCCGTGGTTTCACAAAATCGCCATTTCAAATTCTGAAAAGTGACAAGTTTCAATGCAAGTATTTCGGTTATGGGTCACGTGGGGGCGATCTGGTTTCTTCGCCATTCTATTGCATTTTCTTGTACTTTCAATTGCTCTAAAAATGGCCTGCTCGTTTTTGCCCATTTAGAAGTTATTGGTATTGGAAATTTGGGTAATTTTCAACCAAAAAATGTAAATAACTCTTCAAATATTAATGATAGCAATTTGCAGTCTTCTAAAAAGATATGTAATTTGAAATTTCTAACATTTTTGTAGAACATGCCAAACATGTAGAAATATTGTAGAAAAAGTTACAGATACAAAATTGATTTTAACGATGTCAAAGTAACCTTTATATCTCAGCAGCTATAAGAACTAGAAATTTATAATCTTCAGCAAAGTTGTTTACAGTAATGTTCTCTACAGCTTCGCGGCACACAATTATTTTGTAACTCATCATACTAAAAAAAAAATTTTGCATCTCACTTTTAGGTGGATTAATCTTTAATTTTCTTTTATCATAAGAAGGAGTGTTGTAACTCGAGAAACTTCTCAGAAGACACCTAGTACCTTTAATCAACCATTTCAGCGTAAATAAAAAAGCGCGTGTTTTGATACCCTTGGCACCACTGTGCATCGGAGCCGTTCGAAACGCGATTTGGAAGTATGATGATGAAGCATCGTGCAAGCTTTCACTCGCAAGAAAAATGCAAGAGATGAATCCGCCAAACAATTCCTAGGCCAGGCCAATTGAAACTTTTTGGGCCCTGACCAAAGTATATGTGCGATTCCGTTACAAAGTTTGCGAAAGACTGGGAAAAAGTATTCAAAATTGTTGGAAAGGCATCTGTGCTGAAGCTAATGAGTAGCTTGAAATTAAAAATCCGCTTCTTGGCTTACGACTGATCGGATCTCGGATTTTCTACGTTTAACTGTAAGAGAATACTATAGAGAACATGAGTATGGAATTATCCGGCGCCGGTGGTGTAGTGGTAAGCGTGACTGTTTTCTAACACCAAAATGGGTCTGGATTCAATCCCAGCCGAGGTCGGTGGGATTTTTCTGAGGCATAAAAATCTCTGGTCAAGGGAAGTAAAGCCGTTGGTCCCGGCCCCATGTGTGTTGAATGAGTGCGATATCCTACGCAGGTGTGGAAGCTGCCTTCCTGCACATTCGATTGCCGTCAATGGATGGCAATCGATGTCCGTCGGTGATTGGCACTAGATTGCGGAACAGAGACCGACGTAAAATAAAGGAAAAAAAAAGATGAATACGAAATCGAATTTGCTGTAAACAGAGTAACGTTACCGTTTTTTTTTAAATCGTGCTTAGACATTGTGAGACACCCTATAACAGAAGTTTTAATGTATTTAGCTTCTATTCGTCGAACCTGTTCCGTAGATACCCATTATTATCATTTCCAAGGCATTTTGGATAAACGGTTGTCGCCATATATATATGTAAATTGTCCACTGTCACTGATCCTTCCCATACTCCATATAGTTTATTAACGATGAAGTTAACTCGTTAACGTTCAACGATGATCACTAACACTGACGTTAACCAATTCAATCTAATCCATATCCCCACCCCACACGAACACCAAACCCATTGCCCAAACTAACCTCATTCTGCTCTCCTTGGCCACCATCAGCACCGGTTTATCTTCCATCAGCACCGTAGCCGGTACCGTATTCGCCCATTCCTCGATGGCCACCCGCTGCTCCGGTCCGGGGACATTCCGGGGTCGGGAACAAAGAGCGTCGCGCCCTTCCCCAGCCGATAGCGGCCAGTCTTTGTTGAAAGTTTTGGCCGAGATTATCAGCAACGAGGATTGGCCGCTTACCAGCAACAGCAGCACCGCCGCCTGCGCCACGTGCAACAACGGTGCTCCTCCAATTCGACCCGTTGACATTTTTTTTCTGTGCTCTGCAATGAATGAAAATATTTGAAAAGTAGAATAGCTGGCTCAAATGAATAAAATGAACAAAAACGTTCTAATCTAGGGGAAAAAAACATTAGATAATCATCAAGACACATAAAAACCCTGCATTCTCAGTATGCTAATGCATGCTGCTGCAGCAGCATAAACGAAAGGAAATTCCGCATTCGCCATGGCACTGACTGGCATATAAACGACGACATCATTTTGCCCATGACGACGGTTGTTGGTGAAATTTTAGTCGCAAAATTTGACACTCCATGCAATCCAACATTTCCGTGTTTTCATTAAATGTTTGGTTTGGCGATTTGTTTGGGCTGTTTCGGCTTTGGTTACACGTAAACCACGGTCACTCGCTATCGATGACGGGAGAGTTTGGAGCATATTTGCATGCATTCGCCCCTACAGTCGACAGCCGTGACAAATCCAGAAGACAAAACATTGCAACGCCAAGATTTGTCACATGGAGGCGCCTGATGGCTGAGCCGGTTTGTAATATCAAACCGGGAGAAAATTAATATAAATAGGATGAATGTGTGTAATTGTTAGGATCTCATGCGCGGGTGAAATGTTTGCCCATGCCAAGTGTAACGCGTGTCATTTGTTTTACAACAATGGCATCTGGAATCACATTTATCAATTCGACCAACTTTCCACTGCAGCTTTCACTGTGTCATCAAACAAGGTCTTGAAATATGATCCACGTTGAACTAACCTACATTCGATTTCGTAAAGCTATGTAGGCATCATTTTCCCATCTTTCACACCCAATTAATCACTCCTTGTAATTAATCGCACAAATTGAACATGGCAAAGAAATCGACCATCGCTATTAGTTTGCATAGAGGTATCCATCGCTAGTGTCTGCAGTTTACGGTTTGAGAGGCAAATAGCGAAGACGGTGGAGGTTCACACGTTCGCAAATTAGGCGAGTCTCCTCTGGATCCAACGATGATTGATCATCGTGTGGTCTCACTTCACGCACGTTTCACCGAAGAGGTTTACTGCTCATGCACGGGTGCACATTACGCGTAGCATGACTTTCGGGGATGTAACCATTACGGTGTTTGGTTTGGATTGGCAGCTCTCAATTTAAGTTTGGCAGAGTTGTAATTTATAGCTTAATCATAAACAACTCAGTGAACAGAAATTTGTATTCTTAGATAGCGTGATTTTTTTTTTAATCTTTACTTAAGAGATTTTTAGTCATAGGCTATGTCTAGAAGAGCAACTCCAGTTGAGTGGCTTTCAGATTTGTTTGAACGAATTAAATTGGTAACTCTTAAGAGTTGATGAGTAGTTCAATGCCCATGGCGAAATCCAAACTGCTCATCTGCAAAAATTGAGTTCGTATTGATGTGAAGTATCATTCTATTCAAAGTTATCTTTTCAAAAAGTTCACTTATTGAAGAAAGCAAACTTATTGGGCGGTAGCTAGAAGCTTCAGCTGGATTTTTATCCGGCTTCAAAACAACTTTTGCATTTTTCCATTTATCAGGAAAGTATGCCAAATGGAAACATCAGTTAAATAATTTTACCAAGAAAGACAAGGTACTCTCTGGAAGTTTTTTGATGAGGATATAGAGAATTCCATCATCACCTGGAGCTTCCATATTTTGAAAATTTTTAGTTATAGACCTTACTTCGTCCAAATCAGTCCCCCAGGAATCATCAAAAATATTTTCCCGAGAGAAAATATTCAGAAAATCCCGAGCAACCTGATTCTCAATAGGACTAGTAAGACCCAAACTGAAATTATGGGAACTCTCGAATTGCTTAGCAAGTTTCTGAGCTTTTTCCAAATTTGTGATCAAAATTTTACACCTTCTTTAAGCGCTGGAATATGCTTTTGAGGTTTTTTCAAAAATTTTGTGAGTTTCCAAAAGGGTTTGGAACTCGGGTCTAATTTAGAAACATTATTTTCAAAAGTTTTGTTCCTCAGGGCAGAGAATCGCTTTTTAATTTGTTTTTGCAAATCGCGCCAGATAACTTTCATGGCAGGATCGCGTTTGATATTGTCTCCTACGGACAATTTTAAGACGGATCAAGAGCTGAAGATCGTCGTCTATTATAATTGAATCGAATTTAACCTCGCATTTTGGTACTGAGGCAGCTCTTGCTTCAACTATAGAAGTAGTCAGAGATTCAAGAGCATAAATAATTTCATCTTTGGTTTGCAAATAAATGTTTGGATCGAAGTTATATTCCATAAATGTTCGATATTGCTCCCAATCAGCTCTATGGTAGTTGAAAGTGTTGGGATTAGAAATTATTTCTTGGGATATTTCAAAAGTTACTGGAAGGTGATCACAACCGAAGTCAGCATGGGTAACCAATTGGCTACAAAGTTGACATGAATCAGTTAAGGCCAAATCAATAGTGGAGGGATTTCTTGCAGAAGAAAAGTATATTGGGCTTTTTGGATATTGAATAGTGTAATAACCTGCAGAACAATCATCAAACAGAATATTACCATTGGAATTGCTTTGAGCATTATTCAATTAGCGGTGTTTTGCATTAAAACCACCAATAATAAAGAATTTAGACCTATGACGGGTAAGTTTCTGAAGGTCACCCTTGAGAAAATTCTTTTGCTGGCCTACGCATTGGAAAGGCAAATAGGCAGCTATAAACGTAAGTTGTCCAAATGAAGAAAGAATTTTATGTTTGATTCGTCTATGGACAACGATGGCAACGCCACCACAGGGTCCATCAAGACGATCATTTCTATAAATCAAATAATTTGGGTCCTTCTTAACCTTATGGTCAGGTTTAAGGAACATTTCAGTTATAACGGCAATATGCACGTTATGAACTCTCAAAAAGTTAAATAGCTCGTCTTTATTACTAGTTTCCCTTTCTTTTTGTTTAATTAACCACGTCACATGGTGACAGATACAATATTTAATTAACTATATTTGTGTGTCAAATCGGTAAACAAGTCATTTTAGTAAACCCGGGAAATTTTCCGTTCGAAGCAGATTTGTCTCTCGCAACTACTGGAACTTAATGTTTTATATTTTCTGAATTGTAGGAAAGATACATATCACTTAAAAAATCAAGATTATAGGATTTCGTGATTAAAAAAGGCAATTCTTTGGAAAGCAAATTTTAGTCATTTTTCAAGATTCTAAACGTTGAGCAAACTGCTTCTGAGCTATGAATAAACTCAATGAAGATTTAGGTAAATCCACACTGAGACCATAACAAATAAATTACAGTACCCGTTCGATTTTGGAACGGTTTGATTTTGGGAACGAAATTAAATTTAAAAATAAAACCGTTCGATTTTGGCAAAACTAAATTTTTGGGCTTGTTGCCAAAATACAGATTTTTGTCAGTCAGAAACAGATTAAAAAAATGTTTTGCGATGAAAATACGTCTTAAAAATCAATAAAATGTGGCATCACTGGGTATGACCACGACTGCCCTGATCTATTGTTTGGTTACTGCGATAAGCAACGCCGTTGTTCACGCTAGTGTGTTGTAAAATAATAGATAATAGATATCGATCGAATAGATCGATCATGCAGTGTTTTTGAGCTTGGCCTTTGGCTGAGTGAAGTGAATGACCGGGATCAATGATGAAACTGCCAGTCAAGCGAAAATGAAAATGATATGGAAGAAAGTTAATCATGTCTGTCGTGAGATGACAATGTTACGTAGCTCCATGTATTGAATTGTTCAGAAACCAGATATTTTCGATTATCTTTGCAATGATTGCGAAAATTTTCAAAATAATTTCATTTCTGACTCTATTGAATTTGATCTAACAAAGCTAAAAACATAAACCATGATGTTTAAAATAGCTTTTAATTTTTCAGCACTGGCGGACGTCACTTATGTGTAGAAATAATAATTTGTTGGATGTTCTTCGAAAATGTATGGCTAACGTCACTTTGTCTGCTTGCTTCAAAATCATGTGTGGAGTTGTTTTTGGATATCATTATGGATGCAGAACTCGAATATGGTGAAAAGTGAAAATTTATCATGGTGGAGTTTACGTCACTTTGTCATCTCAATGCAGTAATTATTGCGGCTAGAGAAAAGTATGAGCGGAATGATGGTCACTCATGTCGGTATATCCGTAGTTATCGTGCAAAATGATTCGAGCTTGGCTGCCTTATGCAGGCTGCATGCATTTTGTAAGGAGGTTGGACGAATTCCGGTTCGTTTTCTGCCATTTCTGCCATTTGAATTCATAATGTATTAATCCTCATGGATATTTTTTTTTTTTTTTTTTTTCCTTTATTTACAAGGCTTTCAGCCATTGGCTGGTTCGCCTCCTCATGGATAGATTTGGTGAGTTTGTTCCTGTTGGAAAACATTCGCATGCATTTAATATCATTGTTGTTGATTTCCGTTTGTTACCCGGTGGGATAACCTCGATCGAGCGTGATCTATTGTTCGGTTGTTGCGGGACGTGTGATGAGCTTAGCTTTTGCTCAATTTGAAACAAAATTCGGAATTTTGGAAAGCGTGGATAGAGTTATAATAAACCTTTTTTTTATATTTCAGTCATTTCTAGATCAAGTGAAGGTAAAGCTGGTGCAATTCTAATTCTTTATGTTTGAATCCGCACGAAAATACTGATTAGACGAAATTGAAAAAAAATTCCCACTTCTAACGCAATGTGCGATGAGTGAAGCGTTTGATCATGTTGAAACTTGATGCTCTTTGGAACAGATGGATGCCGTGATTTCTACGATTTCTCATGTGTTATTGTACAGTCAACTCTCCATATATCGATGTTCTATATCTCGATTTGTCACCACTTTTTTCTGTAAGTGGATGGTTATCTCGGACCCTTCAAACGGTCTAGTAGGTTATTCTTATTCCCTTCAAAATTTAAATATGGAGAGATGACTGTATTAGGGGAAATGACGGCTTCGGCATGACATACTATTTTCGGTAACCCAAATTAAAACGCTAATTTCGCTGGATTTTCTTACGAAAACACTTCTCTGAATGCATTCAAACGTTTCTT